TTTGACCCAGGAGGCAGGTATTGTGTCCCATGTGAAACAAGCAAAGTCAATGGCTTACTTTGTCACAGGAGTCGTGACGTGAACCATGATCTTCTTCCAGTGTAAAAGATACAACAAAAAAAGAGGGCTGCTTCCCAAGCATCAAAATATGACCAGTAAGGATGTGATCACGTCCATGTTCTCATCTCTTTTCATAAATTTAAGATAGGGATGCACCGAATATTCGGTAACCGAATATATTCGGCCAAATATTGCAAAAAAACACACATTCGGTATTCGGTAGAATAAGTTAAAAGCAAGGCCGAATAATAGCAGCGTTTTGATAACGCAATCAAGCGGCGTGCCGTGACGGGCCTAATAAAATGTTGGTAGTGTGGCGATCCGTCCGTCACGGCACTCGCATTTGCAACTAAAAATAGTTTTGAGTGAGCAAAATAGGCTTAAATCATTCAGCACGCTGTGCGAGCAGCCTACAGATTTCAACCACCAGCAGAAACGAAAGGCGAATCCCACCGATTGTGGATTGAACGGGGGTCACAGACACAGACAGTAACGTTAATGTAGCCTATTCCTGTCAAATACGGCGGCCATCGGCTTACCGGGCGACAGAGAAGTCGGTTCCAATAATATCCTCTTCTTGGCGTGTGGACTGCCCAGAAGTACCTGAACAGCCGAGCCAGCCGAACACAGGTATGTGACGTGTCAGAGGAAAAACGAGCCTTTCACATTTCTCTCTTTCTGGCAGTAACGGCCCACAAACCTCACCGCACTTGAGGGACTGTTCTTTACTTATGAAGGGACTGTTCTTTACTTGTCAGAGGAGGAGGGTGGCTGGTTGATTTTTATTTTATTTATTTATTTTATTTTGACCCCCCCTATGTTAACCACTTATTGATGCTGTTTTTGAAGTATGAATAAGTCAGTAAGTAATTTATTCCATTGAAATATCATTGATGTATTATAGAAAATACATTAACCGTGACAACACTAATCTGGAGGGGGTTCATCTGCAAAAACTAATGAAAAACTAAACAATCTCTTGTCTTCATAAAGACCTTTTTACCATCTCTTTGTGAAGTTTAATTGGCAGTGACTTACTAAACTATGAGATTTATTGGTGTCCTGCAGCACATGCATCAATTCCAAGCACCATCGCCACAGAAAATGTTGCAATCTGTGCAAACCACTGATATGTTACTAGAGAAGTTAATATGTAGTGGAATGCTGTGGTTGACGTGTGGTTAGGTGTAGGCAGAAAAACAATTTGATCATGGTTAGGAATTGATCATGTTGTGGCTTATAATACTTGGTTGTAAAAAAGCACATATTGTACACCACTAGTCGGTAGTATTCAATTGTGACACAGCTAACCTAACAGCATAATCAAAAATCAACCATGCACTACTATGGATTTATAAGGCCAACTGAGTTTTCAAGCCCTCCTTGAAATAAAGTATAAAAGAATTCAGACACAGCTACAGTTGTCTGAAGTCCCAGCTGTAACTGATACTGCCCTTCAGCCTCACTCAAAATACACTGATAGAAAATGATACCTGCGAGAATGTTAATCAATAATAATGTCGCTCTACATAATATCAACTGTGCTTCTGTCCCGTTTTAACTCTTGAGCCTTTGAGGAGCGTGACAGGCAGAGCGAAGCAAAGTTCAACAGCTCAATGATTAATAGTGCAGCCTGTGAAAAGGTATTTCAGTGTCAGCCGAGCGGACGGAAAATGATTGCGCTCCTTTACTCGCTCTTCCATAGTGACCGACAAACAGCCCACTTCGACCAATCACACCCGCTTCCTGTAAAACGCTCCAATTTGCGCACATGATTCACTCAACCTATCCATGCAGGAAAATGCAGAAATGATATTCAAGGTTGCAGCTGGGCATGTAAAATGAAAAGGTTTAGTGCCTGGTGGGACAGGAGAGGTAGCGGAGGGAGCAGAGAGAGAGGGAGAGAGGTGATGGATAGTCCAACTTCCTGCAGGAGAAAGGTTTGATTAATGGCCGTCCACTCGGCAAAACACACCAGCTGTGAGGGGAGATAAGCACCAATACAAAGAGCAAATTACTGTCTGTACTGTAATAATTAACCTCAGGGACCGGCACATACAGGAAGTACAGGTTCCTTTCAAAAACAGCCTCATTTCCTCTATCTCATAATAAAAAAAACGTAAAACAAAAGCAAAAACTAACAAATAAAAAAAAAATCTCCTTTAGCGCTGAATCCTGAATCCAGGATTTAAGGCTCTTTTTTTATGGCTGGGTGAGCTGTTCCCAAAGATGTACGACCAAATTACTAGCTGGAGTTATTTGAAAAGAGGGAGTCCATTGTGGAAATGACTGTCAACACACTGCTGCCAAGCTCATCCCCCGGTGCAGAATGGGTATCCAAACAGTCTTCAGTGAGATATATGTAGTGGAATAATTGCTTGTCGCGCAGTAGGCAGGAAGGGATACAAATAAACTAACTTGTTAAGGTTTTGGACTCGCAGTTGTTGTTGCCTTAAGTGTTTATAAAAGTTTTGATCCAGCTGGAGGAGCTCTAGATGTGTGTGTGAGAGGGGAGAGGGGGAAACATGCTGCAAAATGTTTTTTTCCCTCTCTTGTGGGGTGACACTTTAACTGAAATATTTGATCAGCCTGAAGAAAATACAGGTTTGAGCAGAAAAGCGGAAAGCATTCCACCTGCCTGAACCACTCACCGTGAATGTACGTAATTATTCTTCATGCCTCGAGCTCCCGGTGGTTTTAAACCCCATAAGCCCCCTGAGTCTCCCCCACACTAAAGTTAGTCTTTGATAACGGCTAATGACTGCGACGGTGAATTCTTCAACCATAATATTATTTGAACCCGAGCTGATTAGAAACATGTGCCCGAGTGTTTGAATGTCAGAACGATTTATGGGTCTCTCACTTGATGACCTTTCCACTCACTGTATACACTCGTGTCTTACATCACTCCGGCGGACTCCCCGCTGAGAGCTCGCCTAGATTTTCTACAACACACTCAGAAGCACAGCTCAGTTACTTCCTGCGCGGCTCGCTTGCTCAGTTGTTTTGCTTCGGAGGTGTGTGACGAGTGAGTGCATACAAATTTAAGAATTCATTACGTAACAAAGACAGGAAACGTGCAATGAAACGTCAATAATCTCCCGTGCTAATCCACTTAAAGGCGCTTCTGTGGGGAAGAAAACATGGATGTTCCTTCCATTAAATCCCAAAATTCACACATATGATAGTGACTATGCTATGTCATCAAACCCTGTTAAATTCCTTGCTGTATGTGCATTGTCATACTGTGTACGAGGGACACACTGAATCATGGACTGCACAATTATTTCAATTAATGTAAGTAATCCACGCTCATCTCCTCAAAGGTCTTATTAGATTTCTTTAGTAAATTGCAACCGATCCAGTCCTGTAAGAATTAATCACAGGGTATTACTGTTTACTGCCCAGAGTGGAAACACCACAGCCAGCTGGATAATCAGGATGAAATGCTGCAGTCTGTTTCATTAAATGCCATCAAACACTTTCTGTTCAAACCATTAGTTCACATTAATATTTGGTATGGAGGGAATGTTTATAGATTGGATTTCTGTCAGTGTTTTCTGTCAGTATTAGAGGCTGACTGAGGATAGAAAAACAAGAAGAGAGTTTATTTTTGACAAAAACAAAAAGCTTCCACAAATGTGCTTTTTAACGACAAGTGAAAATGGTATGTATGTACTGAGATGAGACATAAGACATTTTAACATCAATCTTTTCCAAAACAGGATTTAAAGCTGTAGTACCTTGTGGAGTCATAGAGTGCAGAGTAATGCAAACGCACAGGAGCATGTGGCTGATGGGAAGCACACTCATGTAGTTTGTTTCATGCAAAGAAATGTAACAACGAGCCAATAAATGCAAAACAAAAGGCATTTTGGTGAGTAACACCAAATGTACACATATTCTGTCAACAAAGTTCCTTTAAATGAATAAAAATAAATAAAAGATGAAGAAGATGAGAAGAATATCTACGGAAATTTTCGCCATAATCACTAAATTTCACTGGAAATGCAATTATTATAAGTAACAAAAACAAAAAAAAAAGAGAAAATTGGGCGAAAAATACACCAGAATATGGACTGTGGAGATTAAATTAAATTAGTCAACTAAATAATTCTACTCATAATAATCTATAATTTCACCTTCAACATTTATTTAACCAGAAGTAAAACATCCCCGTAAGTAAGAAGGAAGAAACCAAGAATAGTTTGATAAAATAAAAGAAGTGAACATCTTTGGTAAGCAAATAAAAACAAAAACACCATGTTGTGTCTGACATTTCAAGTGTAAATCTTACCATTTCATGTCCGTCCTGTTGTATTAATAATTCACAGGAAGAAAGACATGAAGTCCAAATATGCAGCTGAGCAGGAGAGAGGCTGCAGCTTGTTTTTACAATCTACTTTTAACCCCAACAAACTGGGGAAAAGCAATAATTAAAACAACAGATTTTGAATTGTAGATTTGGTGATTAACAAACCTCATTCCTTTAAAACCACTTTTATATGGAAACAACAAAGGCAACAATGAGATTGTTTGGAGTGGTCAGCAGATGGAAGAAAAATGACTGCAGTCTTTACATTCGAGGCTATCTGGCTCCAACATATTGCCTGCTGAACCGCAGGGAGACGTGGACATAAAACAGAACCATGTGCGTATCGTGAAGCCGGATGTTTGAAGTGGCAAAGACCTCTCGCACTCGCTCTTAACGCCTGACCTTTACTGCCGCCCACCAACTGCTCCACGCAGACCCGGTTTCTCTCTGCGTTTATAGAGATAATCACCTCAAAACATTTGTCCGGCCCTCCTCACGCTTTCCTTTGAATCGCACCAGTGGCACACACATGTGATAAATGATAGGCCTCATTTCACTTTATTAGCCCACCAAGAGACTGGGGGGGACATTTCCTTACTCTTGTGTTTACTGTGGTTTTTCTTACCTTAGATTGGCTGATGGGTGTTATTGTGGGATCGGGAGGGGAGGGAGGCCGCCGTGCTCTTCATGCTGGTTTCCTTACAGTCCTCCCTTATTGATGAGAGCCTCTAAACAGCTGCCTTAGCAGGAGGGGAATAGAGTTCGGTGATGCCCCAGCAACTCTCAACAGCGTTCTATAAGGAATAAGATACAAGGCAAATGGAGATAAAGGAAAGGCATTAAAACTAAAAATAGAGTAGCGTTTTTCTCCCAAAGTAGGGCGAAATTGGGTTTCAGCCCTGCACACAGCGCACTGCAGTGACAATGCAGAAATACTGACATATATAAAAAGAAAAGCAATCGCAATTCAGCCACGTTTGATCAAAGCTGAGCATTCAGTTGTATGTTGATGTGAGGAGTTATTTCGGAGGGGCTGACAGAAGTCAGACCCTGTAACAGCACAACGGAGTCTCGGCGCAGAGATGTCCCTTTGTTTGTTTAAAGGGCAGGAGAATCGATGGCCCCGTTTTTTGAGGCATGGCTCTGACCTCTCGTGGTGGCACCTGTATCAATCACGGGGCCGGCTTAGCTCTCTGCCTCACTGCTCGTCACATTTGTCTCTCGTGCTCGTGACCGTGGACGGAGGCTGTCTATCCACTCTCAAATGTCAGTCTGCACTTCATGCCGGCTGTCAGCCGACACCGAGCAATGCATAAACAGCTTTAAAAATGTGACGAGAACAACTCTGGAGGAGAAATCTATTGAAGGAAGAAATTGATTTCTTTGAGAAAGATTTAAGTGTTGGCTGTGAGGCCAGCGCAGGAAAAATGAGAAGCCAGGCCCCTCTTTGTTGAATAAATATGAAGTCGTTTAATAAAATTCTGACAGCTCTTTTTGCTGGAATTCAAAGGATCTTAAATTTATTCAGATGTGGTATTGTTTGGTGTTGTTTCTGTTATCTTGGGAAATGCGGGCTGGGATTTATTGATTATACAGAATGAAAATCCAATTTCCACAAGAACGCACTTGTTTTTTATTGATCTGCAGGTCTTAATGAAGTCGGAACACCTGCACATTATCCAGCTGACAGATGTTTGCATAAATGCTTCAATCAACTTAACTTGATCATACTCCAAAGAGTTAGATATGTTTTGACACATTCATGTTGCTCACTCAAAAGTTGCTTCAAAGACAGTTAAGTAGCTACATTGATGATGTCTTCTGTGCATTCTGAATGACAGCCACATGACATAAAGCATAAAAACTACAAATGGGGTTCCTAAAGCTTAAGGGGAGTTACGTTAACGAGTTTCAAAGACTTTTTTAATGCCCCTCACAAATAAATTGAAGACCAATTTTACAAAAACCAAAACTGAACAAAACAAAACAAAAAAAAAAAACATGAACCAACATATTTTGGAGTGTGGTAACACTGCACAGAAAAGGTCTCCATACTCCTTCATTTGACTTGTATAATTGGTGGTGTATAGTTGTGGTAGCTCTGCTTTCTGTGTTAGCATACACCTAAATATCATTCTGAAATCTGTTGCTTTGGACTGGTGCTGGGGATGGAGGTGAGGGTGGATGTGTTTTGGAGAAAAAAGAGAATACTGGGGAATACCTGGCGTTTGCTGGAGGGTTTTCTTGGTGATTTTGTGTTTCTCACTCTGCATGTGGGATTCCCCTGCCTTCATTGCCATTGAGTTTGAAAAACATTTAAAATAAAAATACACAGAGCCTTGTAAATCTTGCCTCGTACCAAGTTTCATCCATGCAATGAAATGTTGCTTTAACAGACAATTTTCAAAGAATTTTCACTTCCCCATGTTGTCCAGGGTACAGTGACCGTTAGCTAGCAGACAGTGGATCATCTGCTCTTGACCATCCCTGCCAGAAACAAAATATGTGCATGACATTAATGCAAGAGGCATGTTAGCAGTTATGTTGAGATTTTACAATGCAAAATTAGAAAAAAATGTCAGGAAATTCTACTATTTAGGGGGATTTAGTGGCATCAAGCGGTGAGGATTGCCGATTGCAACCAGCTGAAACTTCTCCCGGTTATTTCAGTGTTAGTAAAGCAGAGTAAAGCACTTTAACGTTTCAAATCAGTGTTTTTATATTGCTGTTTGGCATGTTGGAGATGGACAGTTAGCCTAGCACCTGTCTTTCAGAAGGTTTTTTTGTTTTTGGTTTTTTTTTTTACTGGGAGCTGAATTATCGTCTCTACCTCTCTAACATCTCTTTTTCTTAAAACAAAACGGACCAGGTGATTAAAACCGGTAAAAACTCTGAGAAAGCAGTTTCATGTTAAAAATAATCTGTGTTTTTCTAACTCTGTTGCTGCAGAGGGGCTGCTAACTATGGTGTCCAACACGAAAACAGGAATGTTCCTAGCTAGAGCCAGTGTTAAGTTTGTCCGTTCTGGGCTACTGTATAGGACTGGGTTCAAATTATTGATTCATCCAATTCAAATCGATCTTCATTTGAATGAACCGATATCGATTCATAAAAACCAAGATAGATCTTTTTATATACGCTTCCTCCCACGGATGTGTGAAGCTTTAACCCCATTAATCTTGCCGGTAGGAAACGGGCTGTGGTGCTAAATTATTGACGACCATAGTCTTGAGAAGCTCAGACGTTCGGCTCTTTTATCGGTAACTGTTACTTTTTTACGCTTTGGTGTAATTTATTATCATGCTGCAGCGTCTCCTCCTGCTGTCTATGGTCAGGGCTGCTGCGCCACTTTTACGCATACACATAGACACACAAACACGGAGTAAAGACGCCACTGTGGAGACAGAGGTGAAGATAACTTGAGCTGAGGACAACTATGCTTGTTATTGTCAGTGCAATAAAACCTTCTGTTCTGAATTTATTCTTTTTGTTTAAATAACTCCTTGTAAAATTTACAGTATTAGTCCTCTGAGAATCTCTTTCACATACTAGCAAAAATTAGTATTGTAATAGAAATATCCCCAATTAAATCGATATTGGAAATCAAATCGAATCTGCGCCTTGTAAATCAAAATTGATTCAGAAAATCAGTGGCGATACCCAGCCCTACTACTGTAGAAACATGGCAGTGCAACAAGGCAATCTCCATAGATGAGGATCCTCTCCCTATGTAGATATAAACAGCTCTTTCTAGGTAACAACAACACAATGATACACCAAAGAACATTTTTCAGTATATCTGCCAATATATCCCCCTGAATCCTATACACTGGACCTTTAAGACTTTTTAAGGAGTCATGTATAATGTGGCTGAACACAAAGTTTCTTTGGAAGTGACAAGAGATGCAGACAAACCAACTGTACATGTAAATGAACACATCAAAGTTCCCCCAAACTTTCTCACCTCACTTTGAGTCTGCAGACGATTTAAAGCCTGTTGAATATGCATTACCATATGTAAGCGCCTGTTTCACAGGCTCACAAGAAACACAAGTCACACCAGACAAAATCGTCCAAGGGGGCATTTTGATGGAACTGCATGCTAACTCGCCGCGGTAACAACCGGCTCTCTGTTTTGATGGATTGGACCCCAGTTAATCTGTATGTATGGCCGATCCTTATGAGGCCACATTGTAATCACCCAGCCAGTTCTCGGCGATCCAGGACTCCTGTCTCGGGTTGAAAGAGAGGGATGATTCCCATTATGGAGTAATTAGTCTTGTTGTCACCGCCGGACCTTGACAGTGAATCCACTTGCCGGGGCTCTAAAGGGATTTGGGTGTTTGCGACTGCTGAATCACAATCAGCATCGCCTTTACTTGCCAAGGACAACGCCCTCAACTTTAAGTTGCTCATGAACAGCAGTGTAGACGTCATGGCTGTCAGCTGTAACGAGGACTGTGAGCCAAAGTTTCTGCTATAGTGTCACTTTATTCTCTCTATTCTAACTTTCTTGGCACACTGGTACTGCAGTATTCCACTGCAAGAAGTGTTGGCTGATTAACACTTCAGGTTTACAGCAGGTTTATAAACGTGGCAATTTAAACAGCTTTAATTTAGTTTGTCTTGTTATTATGTGCCACAGTTGGATGACAGGATGCATCTGCTTTCATATATTACTGGTAGGAACTGAATGTGTGCTCCTGTATGGTCCATCAGTTATGATAGCCTCAATATGTTTGACTGAGTCTTAATTATGACAGGCAGTGATGGGGACATAATGAGATTAGTTTACAGTAAGACAGATTTTTTTCCTCTGCCATTTGACTTTAAGACACTTGGAGACAAAAGTTCCCCATTCTGAGTATTTATATAAAATCTCTTTCCTGTTAAATGTTAACATATTTCCAATGGCCCATCCTGCCCTCAGCTTACACATACATTTATCCAGTTAAAGGTTATCTGGAGCCGTCAGATAACCACCTCTCACATTATATAAAACTTCAATTGACCTCGTTAGCTTTGTTAGTAGCCAGTGGAGCAACACTATGTTCATGAGCTTGGTGTTTGGGTATGAGTCACCCACTTTCTCTGCCTCCCGATCTAATAACATAGGTGTGGGTTGATGTGACCAATCCTCCACCACTGCTCCAAATATATGAGGCTCCAGCGAATCCAAAGGTCACTTAATCATGCCGACTTTGGAGCAATAAGAATCAGAATCAACTTTATTGGACAAGTCTGTTAAGGCATAAACAGAGTTTGACTCATTGATTTTACAGAAAGTGCCAAAAGCAAATGTACGGGAAGATAAACAGAAACTAAAGACATTATGCACAGGCAGGTATAAAATAAGGCAATTAGTAGAAATAGATGCATATCTCAAAGCAACAAATAAACAACATGCAATGTCAATACGCAGGTCAAACTGTAACTTCACTAACTTATACATAGTGTTGTGTGGAAAACTCGGCACTTTCAATGACACAGACTGAATTACATAAGTACTACCAAGTACATATTCATGTTAAATACTTACTGTTAAATACTGAGAACACAGTACATAGTGTGTGTGTGTGGTTGAGCAAAAGAGACAGTGGCTGCGCTCAGGGCAGACAGGTTAGCAGTGAAGTTGTCTCGAAGCAGTAAATGTACAGTGAAGGTTACAGTTGGCTCATGAATAAACACCGCAGCTCCTCAATACCCGAGAAATTCCCCTGTCTCGCTGCCCAGCTGCTGGACAAAAGGACAAACGGAGCTAACTGTGCTGCTCACGTAGTATGTCTAAAGAGAG